AAATTACTTATATGTTAACTGTTTTTATGTAAATGATAAATAAACATATCCTCTACTCACTGTTAAAAGACTCATTTTTTTAAAAAGTATGCTGAATTGCAGAATTTATTTTACTATAAGATAAATAAAATAATAAACTTAATGGCAAAAAGTTTTAAGGAAACTAAAAAACAAATTAATATGCTTGAACAGGATTCATGTTTGGAAGAAACTTCTGAATCATTCACAAAAACAGTTTGTACCATTCAAAATCAAGAGGGCCACAAAAATCTCCGAACAATACTATTTTCCTTTAAAAAGTAGCAGCTACTCAATACGCAAAACTTGAAAATTAGATATATTAGGTATGAGTCTAAGGTTATAAGACTCATCATGGATTTTCTTTCAAAATCAAGTTCTCCCGTATGATTAAAATTGTATTTGATTTACAACATTCAATGTACAGGTAACTTCTGTCATATACATATTGCACAGAGTAACATCTGAATTGTTCAAATCATAAAAACTTTATTGTCTGGTTAGGTAAATAGCCTTCATTCAACCACTATGAAAAATCAGTACAGCACACAGCCAGAAAAATAACAGTGGAAAAAAGAATAAAACCTGTTAGTTATTTAAAAGAAACTACCCTACTAAGCTTTTAACTTCTTTACTTTCTCTATAGTACTTAACAACAGCTTTAAAGAAGTTATAAATACATACCCATACTTCATTCTCATCCTATCATTCTCTGGGTTACAGTAAAATCTTTCCAAGTGCTCCTGGGAATCATTGGATACACTCTGCCACTTTTGGGTAGTTGTCCTCTTGATCTGCCAATGATAGGGCAAGACCGTGTGGTGTTTCAAACAATCCCTGCCATAAATACACATGCCTTGCAAAAAGTCCATGCAAATTTCAATTTCGTTCTCTTGGTGAGTGTGGTACTGTAGCTGGTTCACCAACTCAAATACAAGATCAAGGGAGGCCTCCTCACTTTTGTCCTGAAAGAGCTCGGTACTCAACTTATCACTGGTGTCCAAAATGTACTGAATTGTAAAACTGTTGTCTTGGAAAACCCCTGGAACATAATCCATGACTTTGTCTATGCAGTCAGGACTAACGGGAACATCACTTGAAACTGGGTGCAAAAGGGCAGTCTGGAAGTGCCCTGCTGTAGAATCAGCCACTGTCCCACTAATGGTTTCTGATGGAAAGTTGTGATCCTGGATTGGAATCACTTGTTCTGGAGCATCAGTAGAAGGGCGAGTTTCTGGTATTTGGTCCCCGACATTTGTCCCCTCAGGAATCAGGACAGACATATTGTTTTCTGTTGGTGGACAGGATGTGTTGATTTCCAGGGGTTTTTTCACCATAGGTTCATGTAAGCTGTTCTCATCTGCATCCTGGTTTCTGGATCTAAAAACCCCACCAAGTGAGCCAGATTCTAGCAAAGTGTTTAATATTGGCCTCAAAGACCTCAGGGTTCCAGTTCCCAATCTCTTCTGATCCTTTTTCTTAAAACAAGTCTTCAATGGAGTGATCTTCTCAGAGAGTCTCATTTGGCATGAAAAGTCATCAGGAGGAGAGGGAGGCTGCACTACACAGTCTGGCTCAGGTTCGGTGGTTTCCATTTCCATAATGTGGATTAGCTCCAATTGCTCCTCAGAGTCTAAAATCCTACCAGGAAAGGAAAGAAGATGATCGTTTACAAGCTGACAACAACTGGATACCATTCATTCATCAAAATGTTTAGTTTTTGTCTATAAGTTACTGAAATCACTCCTCTTACATTGTATTTCATCTTTTCAGATTTTATTGAGAAATCAAGGCTCCAAAACAGCCAGGGCTATGCCCACAGAAGGTAAAAGTAAAAGAGAAAGAGTATTTTAGGCACTTGAAATTTATTTGTGGACTTAATATACAATTTGTACTTTTGCTGGGGTATGACTTTTTACTATAAGTCTAGGGTAGAATGGGAGGGGGAGAATGAGGGGTAGAAATAAGTGTGTCTAATTGATGACAGCAGGGAAACCACATCTTCACTGCTTTGTGGTTCTTTTCAGAGTTATTTATCGCCTTTCTCATGAGGTGACAAAACTGTTTCTTTGTAAAAAAAAAAAAAAAAGGTTCATCAAATGAAGGATAAACTTCAAAGTTAAATAGTGAGTGAATTTGGGGTGTGAGGATATACTCAGAAAATAGGGTCTCTCAAAATGTTATATGGGAGAAAGCCAGGAGCCTGCTGAAGCATTTCTATTCAGTTAAATCCTTACTTAAGGTCACCTGTGACTTTAGGGAAACCAAGTATAATGAAACCAATTTTACCATAGGCTAATTGTTATAAACAAGAGTTAAGTTCATACAACAAAATGATATTTTTGATGACCTGCTGTATTCAGAAAGTTTCAATATAAACCCCAAAGACATTAAGGGTCTACTTTTGCAATCCCCAAAACATAACCACTGCTGGAGGAGGAATACCAGGGCTTGTTTAGCGACAGAAAGTAAATCAGCAACAACTACAGCGCACACTGTTTTAGAAACCAAACACAACCTCATAAAGAGACCCCTTTGTCCTTGTCTTCAAAAAAGTTACACATGTATTTTTTAAAGGCAAATGAAGGAATATTGTAGAAAATAACATAAGAATATAAAACACAAGCCACATTTTCAGATTCCTTATGAACTACTGAAAGAGAATAAAAGTTCTTTCTTTAAGGAATCAGACCCTTTGGGAAAAAATGGAACAAAGAATAAAGCCAAGGAAACTTTGTAAAATGACAAATGGTGAACAAAGTATAAAGCAAAGGAAACTTTGTAAAATGACAAATGGTATCACCTCCATAATCTAGCACTCATTAATTAATTCTGAAAATATTTATTAAGCATTGTGTCGGGTGTAAAAGGATTGGTGATGAGCAATTAATATTCTTCTCTCTTATCCAATGGACTGAAAGAGATATTTGATGCAAGGACCCATGACTTCATCAAGCATGCAACCCAGGTGCCCATTACAGTGCCTAACACAATGCAAACAGTGGGTACTCAGGATATGTTTTTGTCTGAATAACTGAAGAAAAAGAACCTGCAGTGCCTAGTTCTACTCGTCTTTATGGGTCAACAACAACACAAAAATAATAAAACTGAGTCCCCTGAAAAGTGAATATTAAAGGTCTAATTGGATTCTTGAATCTGTGCGGGTAAAAAGTGCATAATGATCAAACGCAGAAAAATGATTTAAAAGAAAAACAAAAACACAAAAAACCTCCCACAAGGTGTTAGCCTCCAAGATAAGTACAAAAGGAAAAGGTAGAAAGAGTTCAGTGTGAGCTGCCATTGTTAGGGAAAAGCTTCACGAAGAAGGAGGGACTTGACAGAAGACATAAATCAACTGGAAAGCGGCCAAGCCAGGCGTTATTATTCATCATTCAGTGCTCTTGCCTCAAGGCACAATTGGCACAGACTGTGGTATTCCCTCTCCGCCACACCAAACCGGCCTGTGCCATCCTCCACACACGCACGCACACACACGCACGCACACACACACGCACACCCTCCTATCACACCCTCTCCGGGCACAGCAGACCTTAAGCCGATCTTGAGTCACACACTTCAACTTTTCCCATGATTGTCCTCTGTCACACTCGGAAATAAACCTGAGGCGGCAGAGACCTGGAGGAGTGGGGAAGTCAACAGAACCTAGTTCCTCAATTAAAGTTTGCATACCAACAAACAGAGATCGGCAGGGCACCTCCTGGGGTCCCCCCCTCCGCAGGCCCCCCACCACTCCTCCCCTCACCTCTAGGTGCCCCGATTTCCCTGGCACGCCCGGCTCGGAGCCCGCTCCACGGGAATCGCCGGCCCCAAACTTGGGACTCGGAAGGCCAGCCGCCGCTGCCCGACACCCCGGCGCCGAGCCCGGGTCCGAGCGACGCCTCCTAGGGCCGCGGCGACTCGCGCAGCTCCGCACCCCCCGGCCGCGCCAACTCGGCGCAGCGCGGCTGAGGCGCCGCCAAGCTCGGCCAATTCGGTCCGGGAGTCCCGAGCATCTTGCCCCCACCCCCCACCCCAAAACCCTCGGTCTAGCCTCCTCCCCGGCCCGGGATCCCCTCCATCCCAGAAGCCACTCACGGGGCCTTCCAGTCCACTCTTCAACCCCTCAACCGACCTTCCCCAGAGGATCGCTCCGCGGGTCTCGCAGGATCGCAGAACCGCCCCGCGAAGCGCCGGGGGAAAGTGGCCGCCGCTTCTCGGGAAGGGCGACGAGGACTCCCGCGCCTTCAAAGTTAATCCGAACAAGCCTGCTAACTTCTGGGCTGCAGGCGGAACGTGGGGCGGCCGGAAGGCTCCCCGGGCCACCGTGCTCCCGCTCGGGCTGCGGAGCGCCCCCGCGGGGGAGGCCGCCCAGACGCGCCCGCGCTGACCAAGGCGGGCAGGGGCGACGCCGGCGACCCTGACCAAACCCTTCCGCGTCTCACTCCGGTGTATACACCTGCCAGAGGCCCTAAGTGACTACGAAGTGTAAACCAATTCCATCTCGATGCGGACGGGATCCGAGTGAACTGGGCACACACACAAAAAAGCACAATCTAAGTAGCCATCGCCCTCGATCCTTGAGAGTCGCTGCGGGGCCGGCGCCCCCTTCCTCGCCCGCCAGCCCCGCCAGGGTCCCTCCCCGGCTCCTCGGAGCTCAGCCGGAGTCCTTTACCTCAACCGGCACCCTGAGAGCGCCGACCGCAGGAGCCGAGTTGCGGCGCCGCCGATTCGCGGACAACGTCCGCACGGGGGTCGGCGCGGAGGGCAGGCTCAGGTTTCTAAGGGTCGCAGGCTGGGGACGCGGTGACCGGCGCCCGAGCCATTCCGCCGCCGCGAGCGCAGAAAGCGGCGACGGCGCTCCCGACCCAGCTCGCTCGCCTGTCACCTCGAGCTCTGCTTTAAAGTGGCTTCCGGTCGCCTGCTCTCCACAGCCCGGCCGAGGGGGCGGGGCCCGGGCGGGGGTGGGGCTTCGGGGCCGGGCGCTCACTGGGTGCCGGGAAGGAGCCCCGCCCCGTCCGCGTGCGCGCTCGCGAGCAGGCGCGCCGGGGGTTGCCGCGGCCGCGCGCTCCCTCGAGGGGGCGTGTCCTTTCCGGGCGGCGCGGGCCGGGAGGGTCCCTGTCAACTTGCTTCATTGAGCGGCTGGCGGTGAGGAAGCGTTGCGCTCCCTGTGGGGCGGGCTCCACCTGCCTGCGGTTAGATGGAGGATCACTTTGTTCCGAGAAATCCCGGGCGTGCGAAGGAGGATGTGAAACGGAACGACCCGTTTCTGTGCGGTCGGCTTTGTTTATTTGCCTCCTCACAAGACTCCTCCTGCCCCTGACGCCACCGAACCCCAAGGGGCGGCAAACGGCTGCTATGGTCGCTGCGGCCAGACGGGGTCGCCAGCTCCGTACTCAACGGCCCGGCCCGGCAGCACCAGGGATCGCCTGCCCCAACCGGGTAGAAGGCATATTCCTCTTTCAGGTGACCTATCTTTGGGGTTTTTTGACGGAAAGGCGCCGATAGATATGTTTTAAAGCCCACAGACACCGTAGTAATTAATTGACCCAATACTTGTCGAGCGCCTATTGCCCGGCGTGTGCTAGGCTTCGGCGGCAGCTCTGATCAGCCCAGACACCCACCAGGCAGCGTGCAGGGCACCACATCCTCTCCTCTGAAACACGTACCCCTCGGGACTCTGCCGGATTGTCCGGATTGTCAAATGCCTTTCTGGTAAATCCACAAATTGAAAAGCTTGTCAGTGGTGGAGGAAGAAACACGTGAAAATCATATAATCTCTGTCTATAGGAAGGAAAGGCCCTGATCAAAATAAAAGAAAGTTAATTATGGCTTTATCCCCAACAGCTGGCAGAGAGAGAGCGAGCGAGAGAGAGAGAGCGAGCACAATACAGCTTGCAAAAAGATGCTCTCGGCCTGTGGCCTGAAAAATAAAACTGATTTTTTTCCATAATTTGGAGGCTTTCTGGGTTGGAAAAGCCAACTATTAACCTTGCCAGACATGGAAGCCTATAAAAATAGGAGCTGAGAGGTGGTAGTAATAGATATATGGTTCCAAGCCTTTCTTAAACTCTTCTAAACCAAACTGGGTGACAAGCTCTTCTAAATCTATTCAACAAAGAATATTTATTTATGTATGTATGTATGTATGTATGTATTTAGCAAACAATAGATTAAAGGAAGGATCATCACTGCAGGCTTATTTCAAATTGCATCAAGGCAGGGCCGTTAAACTCAGGTGGAAATGATATGGACAGGATACAGAGGCTAATACAGAAAAGACAAGATTTTTCAGGCTTAGAAACTGATTTGAGGCAAGCTCTTCGTCATGCCTACTCATAGACAGAATTGCCTTCGAAGCACATTTAAATGGATTTTACTGTTTGCTTTTATTGATCTAATCTGTTGTCTTTCTTTTCACGCCTTCCTTTGGATTACCTACTTTTAATTGTATTTTTCCCCAACAGTTAGATTTATTTGCTATACATTCTTTATTCTTTTTGTAGTGTTTCAGTTATTTGTTGCTGTGTCCTAACCACCTCAAAACTTCATGACTTAACTCTTATTTGCTCAAGATTCCAGATTCTTTGGCTCAAGAACGCAGTCAGGCCAGAGTGCATGAGCCACACATCTGCTCCATGATCCCTTGGGCCTCAACTGGGGTGGCTCAGATGGTTGGGGCTGGCTCAGGGAGGCCTGTGTGTCTTGGGCTGTTGGCTAGATTCCCTGGTTTTTCTCTACATGGCTTCTCCATGTGACTAACTTGGACTCCCTCACAGCATGGTAATTCCAGGATCCCGAGAGGGAGCATTCCAAGAGAACAAGCCTCAGGGTGCAGGCCTGTGCTTACTAATGTATCATTGGCCGATGCAAGTCACATAGCCAAGAGCAGATATGGCAAGAGGCCATGAATTAGGAGGTGTGGTTCATTGGGGGGGGGGGGGGGTATTTAGATTAAGGACAGATCAACTTAATCCAATTAGGGATTAATTAAAAGTTTATTCCAGGGTGTAGCTCTTGGGGATTCCAACTTAAAATCTTTCCCCACCTCCCCCGGTTCTGAGCTCAGAATTTTCACCCTCCACTCCCCACCCACTGCCCTTGAGAACTTCACAACCTCTCCACTACTGCTTTCAGGATGTCAGTTGTCTCAGAAGGTAAAATGGCACCAGATTCTGGACTCATTCAGCACTCTTAGATCTAGTCTCTTCCAACTACTAAAGTTTTAATGCTCCAAAATGTACCCTCCACAATGTCCACCTCAGATGGGACTCCTGGAAGACAATAGAATAGGAAGATCCTCTTACAGAACAGAACCAGGAACTGACATATTAACTGACCAAGGGCATGGATTCCTTGCTATACCAGTAATTATCCAGCAGGATTTGGTATTTCTATGGGCCAGAGACCACTGTGTCTCCCATTTTCCCCTTTCCTGAATAGGAGTTTTACCAACATTCTGTTCTTGTCTATCCACCATTGCTTATTAGGAGTGTTGAGGCAGATAAATTTTCTTTAAATATTGGTTGCCAGATCCACACTCTTGATGGGAAGTACCCCACATCATCAGAACTTCTGGATTCTGGGCTTGAGCTCATTGCAGTAACTGGATGAGACTTTGAGAGTGTTTCTCTTAGGGAGGGGATGAGTGTATTCCTTATATGAAACGAAAGGGCAGACACTGCTTGTTGCCCCTATCTATTAGAAATATCCTGACACTTTTAAAAAAATGTTTTTATTGATTATTTTAGAGAGAGAGGAAGGGAAAGGGATAAGAGAAACATCAACGAGAGAACATGGATTGGCTGCCTCCTGCACACCTCCTATTGGGGATCAAGCCAGAACTCAGGCATGTGCCCTGACTGGGAATTGAAATGGTGACCTCTTGGTTCATGAGTCAGTGCTCAAGCACTAAGCCACACCAGCTGGACTATCCTGATACTTTTGTGGGGGATGGGAGGAAGGATGGCAATGAGCTTAGCTAAAAAAACTCATTTCATTAGATCCCATACTGATATGGGTGGCCATGGGATATATTTCTAGACATATGGTGAATATGTCTAGAAAAAAACATTTTTTCTTAATATGTCTACTAACTACCTCAAAACTCCATTTTATACCCTTTTTTTCCCCTTCTAGAATGAGGATGGAGGTGGACCTCATGATGAAAATGAACATGATGTGGAAAATATGAAGATGGAATCTACAAGATAGGGATGCTGAGCAGAAAGATAAGAGTTTGGGTCACTTGACATCTTGAAGCTGCTGCAGCAGTTCTAGACTGGCTACATCTGGACTTACTTTTATGTCTGAAAAACCCCAATTTGGTTTTCTGTTATGTGTAGCTAAAATTTTTCTCAGCTAATACATAAATTATCATGTTGTCTTCCTGCTTGCAGGCTCTACCCGTTGGATAGTAATATGATATAGCATGTGAGAGATATAAAAGCTGTCACAAAGCAATACATCAACTCCTATATATAGCACTTTTTGCCAATTCTACACTTATACCAAATTATATGATTAAGAAACATGTTTATTAAAGAAAAAATAGAAAGTAGAGAGGAGACCAAAGAATCTAAAGTCCCATTTTAACATTTTTCTATAGTTCCATCTTGTTTTATTTAAAGATTTTTTCTATTGTAACATCACTGTATAGTCATATTTAACTTAACACTATATGATAACTTGCTTTTCATGTTAACACAGTCTTTTAAACAAATAGCTGTTGAATATTCCAAATAAATATAAACAAGTTTTACTTAACTGGTTCCTTATCATTGAAATTATCAATTCACTTTAAAAAAAAATGTTTGTATTGATTTTTAGAGAGAGAGGAAGGGAGAGGGATTGAGAGAAAGAAACATTGAGAGAAACATCATCAATCGGCTGTCTCCTGCATGCCCCCCACTGGGGGTTGAGCCCGAAACCCCGGGCATGTGCCCTGATTGGGAATTGAACTGGTGACCTCTTGGTTCCTGGGTCAACACTCAACTGCTGAGCCACACTGGCCGAGCTATCAATTCACTTTTTAAAAAATCATTTTTTCAATGAGTATCTAATACATTTAAGTCACTGGATTAAATATTGTAAGTACTCATACATGAATAAGTGCCTCCTCTCTGAATGCTCTTCAAAACTGCAAAAGGTACAAATATATACATGCAACATACAGTATATAGCATATGCATGTGTATACTTTCTATATGTGGCCCAAAGCCATTTAATATTTTTAAAATATGCTTATAGGACTGAAATATTCTAATTTCCTTTGCACATATTTCTTTTATCACTTTCTGTTTTCCTTGCCTGCTGGATTTGCCTTAGCATTACTGTTCAATAGAGTACTCCCCATGAACAACTTACTAATGTAAATGCCAAGACTACATACTTGAAATTTCAAGTGACTCAAGACCTCCCGTTTCCCTGCTCATGAATAGAGTACATGCTATAAAGTACAAGTATCAATATCAGTTGCTTTCTGTTTTCATAATTATTAGTAATAGTTATTTCCCCAACATCCTTCTGGTGCAAAGATAATCATTTCTGGTTACTGTACCAAGAAGGAAACAGTAACTAACGTGACTCAGAGAGCACAGTGAAAGACATGAGATTTGCAAACAGAGGCCTTGGCTCTCAGCAATGCTGTACTGAGATTACATGGAGAATGCAGCCACACTGCATAAATGGCAGACTGACAATTCCTTATCTATGAGTGCCAAGTCCAAGCTATAATGTTTCCTGGTGATGTTTAAGGACAACTTATTCTTTAACTCAACAGAAGTTTATATGTGCATGTATCTAATATATCCAAAGTAAAGGAAAAGTCCAACTGTTATTTAGACAACGGAATGACTTGTTTTTAAACATTCTATTAATGAAAATTTTGTCTTGATGCTGTTACTATTGGGCCAACTCTAGGGACTTATTTAAACAAAGATTGCCTATTTCCTGGAAAGGGAGTTCTGTACTTTTGGGATTCTAGGGCAAGAAAAGATTTGGCTGAATGTATTCACATCAAGTGGACTTTAAATGTGTTTATGGGAGAAGATTGAAAAGTGCTGCTAGAGAATATGTCAGAGCAACAAAAGGTAGAGTATTTATTTAATCAGCATGAATTAAGGGTGAATTAATAAAATGCTCAGGGCTGGTTTTGAGCCTGACATGAAGTACTTTGATAAATGTAAACTTCAGATTCATGTTTTCATCAAGTGATAGAATATTCACTTTGCAGACCATTTCTGGGTTTTAAAAATACTTCTCAGTTATAACCACTTCTCTCATGAAACTCACTTCTCTCTGCCTCTGCTGAGGCAACAAGGTGCCTCTGTCTGGAAAAGACGAGGGTACAAGGCCTACTGGAAAATAAAAAGATAAAATATGAGTAGGATGAGTTCTAAAATGCATATGCCAGTTCACTAAAGATGCTTCTTGACTTATGATAGGGTTATATCCTGATATAAGCTGAAAAATTAAGTCAAAAGTACACTTAATACACCTAACCTACCAAACATCATAACTTATCCTGGCCTAACTTAACATGCTCAGAACACTTACATTACCCTACTATAGGGCAAAATCATCTCATTGCTGCTGTCCAGCACCATGAGAGAGTATTGTACTGTGCCGAGCCAGCTCAGCCAAGGGTTCGAAAGCCTGAGTGAGGGCAGCGAAAGGATGAAGAAATGACAAAGAGAATAAGCTGGGTCTAGGTGGATCTTCCTGTGCCCGGCTGAGGCCACAGAGGGAGATCCAGAGGCAAGCTGAGCCTTTATTTTATAGCCAGAGGTAAACAAGGTAGTGGTCACGATAGTTACACAGTTCTTGTGAGTTTCACCTGTTTTGACCATAGTTACACTCCCTGCACTTCCCTCAGCCCATTAGCTTCCCAGATAAGATCTAGGGAACGTCATAAGGTCAAGCCTAATTATGCTAAGAGGACTGTGCCCTCTAAACTGGGACTTGTTTGTGGCTTTGCCAACAGGTCAGTCGGAGGCTTAACCCTATAGCTGCGCCCTACATTGTACCACATATTACTAGCCTGGGAATAGATCAAAATTCAAAATTTGAATTACAGTCTCTCCTGAATGCATATAGCTTTTGCACCATCATAAAGTTGAAAAATAATAAGTCACACCATCAAACATGAGGACCCTCTATATTCTGTTTTTGTTTGACTTTTTAAAAAAATATGTTTTTATTGATTTTTTAGAGAGAGAGGAAGGGGAAGGGAGAAAGAGAAACATCAATTGGCTGTCTCTTGCACACCCCCTACTGGGGTTGAGCCTGAAACTCAGACTGGGAATCAAACCGGTGACCTTTTTTTGGTGCATGGGATGATGCTCAACCAACTGAGCCACACCGGCCAGGGCTGTACTCTGTTTATCTAAGACTTGCATCTGTAAACTGCCTAATCACTTGCTGGACTATTCTTATCTTCACAGGATAGCTAACTGTGCTCTTTAATCCCCTTTAGTTTTGGACCTGTTTGTTGATTAATTCCCATAGCACATAAGCAAAGTGCTGTCTGATCTAACTGGTTTTGATTCTTTTTGAAAGGATTCTCTTAGAGAAGTCCCCAGATGTTTTCCAGACCATTCATTCAGTTGATTCAGCACACATTTATGGGTGTGTATGTGCCAGGCACTAGTTATGCAATGATGACTAAGATAGTCCCTACTCTCAGTCATTTTCATATGGTGAAGTCTATGAACTGACTATCCAAGTCTCTTGGGAAAGTCTGCTACAGATTCCCCAGCCCCACCCTAGAACTTCACTGAGAGGGCATGACCTGGCCGATGTGGCTCAGTTGAGAGCATCGTTCAGTGCACTGAAAGGTCAAGGGTTTGATTCCAGCTGGGGCGCCTATGGGAGGCAACCGATTAATCTTCCTCTCTCACATCCATGTTTCCTTCTCTCTCTCTCTCTCTCTCTCTCTCTCTCTCTCTCTCTCTCTCTCTCTCTCTCTCTCTCTCTCCCTCTGTTCCCTCCCTCCCTCCCTCCGTCTTTCTCTCTCTCTCACTTCCCATCTCTCTACAATTAATGAACATGCCCTCAGGTAAGTATGAAAAAAAAATTCTGAGAGGGCAGCGAATTCTGCACTTTGAAGATGTTCCCTAAGAGCTGCTGCTTTAAGAGCTCACAGGCTTTTAAAACCCTTGGGGGTTGGGTAGGAGGGAAAGGAGACTTGGAGGGTGGCCAAATAGGAAAACAAATAATCTATAGTAGTGTGGCAAGTGCTATAATAGAGGTGTACCTGCATGGTGTTAGGAATATAATATAAAGAGGAGGAATTAAGCCTACCTCTATTGTCAGAGGAGAGAATTATGCAGCAGATTTCTTGACGTATCTAGGATTACTATATCTTAGAATGTTAAGAACTTCAGCTGTTTCTACTGGGAGTACACCTAAATTTAATAGAGGGGGAAAGTTTTCTTTAAAAAAAAAAAAATGAATTCCCAAGTAGTTTTCAAGACAATCTTGAAAATCATGTGCAGAGATCATCCGAGTTAATAGCATTTCTAACTTGTGTGGATTTATCCTAAGGATATAATTAGAGTTATATGCAAAAGTTTGGTTACAATGCTGTTCCCTGCAGCAAATAATTTGTGTCCAACTGCTCATTTTGATCAAATCCCAAACTCAGTTCTCTGTGAGACAATTTCCCTGTCCCCACTTCTTATACTGCCATGAGACATTTGGGGCTATAAATACTTTCTATTTTTGCTGCTTAGGCTCTGCAAAGCCAAAACTCTGTAGTAAAAACTTTTTCCAGTGTCAAAAATAGAATTTAGGAATTTAATTTATCATTAGCTCTGACTAGCCACACTGGGCAGGACTATGTGCATAGTAAACTCAATATGATTTTGCCAGACTGGACATCCCAGCCATTCACTGATGAGAGATGTTCCGATGCCCATCTGCCTTTCATCTCTGACTCCTCCACTAGTTAGATAGATCCCAGACCATAGATTTTCAACCTGAAAATCTTTTTTCCAGTTTCTATCAAAACACAATCTCTCAGGTGGGGCTTATGTATTGAATAGGGTCTCTTATTTATCTTTTCCTCCCTGGTTTCCAGGAGAGCAATTGACATTATCAGGTAGCTAATGACCCCATTCATTCAACACAGATTTATTGAGTCTTTGTGCTGTAGGTACTTCTTAGTGATAGGGATACGGCAGAAAATAAAACAAATGGTCAACTTTCACCAACCTTCAGACGGGGAGAGATAGACAGGTGGTATCAGGTACAGATGAAAACTATAAGAAGAAAATATTGTAAGGGTGTGCAACAACATAATTTATCAAACAAGGACATTTTGAGAATAATTACTATGTCAAGACAATACAGATGAAATCAGGACTATCCTGGAAAACCTTATTCTAGGAAAGGCATGAACGAGTCCTGTGGGTAGGGAATGAGGTACTTTTTAAAATTGATGTGCTGTTCAGGAAGGGCATTTTCTGAATGGAAACATTTAAGCAGAAGCCTGAGGAAGATTAAGGAGCTAGTCATGATGATATTAGGGGAGGGGCATTCCAGGTAGATGGAATATCATATGCAAAGTCTCTGAGGTAGTAGCAAGACTGGCATGGCAGAGGAAAATCACAGAAGCCAGTTTGATTGGAGTGAAATGAACAAAAGGAAGTTCTGCTGAAGAGGTCAAAGGGGTGGCCAGAGGCTATATTTTATCTTTTGAGCCCATGGTAAGGACTTTGGATTCTACCTTAAGACAAAAATCTATATGATTTACATTTT